ACAAATCCTTGTGTATCAGAAAGGAGCCTGGCTTCAGAGGAGGTGATCCCCCTCCAGGCCCACGGAGCTGATTCATCACCCTCTCTTCTATCAGGACGGCTATATCCCACAAACACTCGCACTGACGAATGACTTCACTCTCCCGGCTGCCGCGCCTGTGCAACTACTCACATGCGCGGTGACCGTGGTCTTAATCTGGAGCGGTGCCACCCAGTTCACTGGAAGGCATCCACACTTGCCAGGGTGCTGGTGAGATCAAACTGAGTTCAGACCATTTACACACCGGCACGCATGTTTGCAGCATTCACACGTGTGGCCGGGGTCAGTGAACTGACATGTGCACGTGGGCCTGCTCATATAACGTGTATGCACACACAGATACACACACGTACACACACACAGATGCCTTTTCTCTGCTGTTGAACCCTGCTGGTATTAGCCAGGAATTTCTCTTGGATCCAGGACTTCATAAATTTGCTTCTGCTTTCCAAAACCCAGGCCCCTCCCTTCCTGTTTGAGCAGCCCCACCCTTCCCCCCTATGCCACAAAAACCAACTTTCCTGCTTGCACCTGATGGATTTCACCATTTTTTTTTTTCACTTTAGATCAAAAAGAAAAATGGAGTTTTTCCTGTTTCTGCTCCCGGAGCTGCGAGCCTGTTGCTACTAGCTTTCGCTCTGATATCTAAAGGGTTTGAAGTGGTCTCAGCTTCACACAAAGGACTCGGCGCTCAGCGCAGATCCCCATCCCGCCCCCCTCGCTCCTTAACCCCCGGACGGCACACGTTTGCATCTGCCATGTGTACACAGCTCGCTGCTCTCATGCCCCTTGCCCTAACCCTCACCCTCCGGTCTAACCCCAGCTCACCCTGTATAACCGCACACCTGCCCTGCTCCTCTCCCGGTCACTCATTTCCAGCTGCCATGTGTCTGTTAAGCCCGACCCTGTGCTAAACAGGCCGCAGCGAGTATGGGGAAGAGGGAGAAAGGCAAAATCTGTCAAGGGGATGATAAAGGACTCAACCCGCTACGAGCTGCAGGAAATTTTGGCTCCGGCTGGTTTCAGCTGACGCAGCAAAATCCATTTTCTTAAAGCAAACTGCAACCCTCCCCCCTCCCGGCTCCGGTTATCGTTGGCTCGCAGTCGCGCAGGGAAACTTGCCAACTGTTTTTTCTTTTTTTTTTTCTTTTTTTTCTTTTTTTTCCATTCTCGAAAGACAGAAGGAATGAGAGGAAGAAAAAAAAAATTGGTTCACATTTGTTTTTCCATGAACTTTTTCAAGTCAGGAGACTCGAACCTGGCTCTGGATCTGCGCGCTCTCCCTCTCGATTCGGCCGACGTGGGGGAACGTGACACGCAAAGAGCAAAAAGCAGGCACATTTGAAAAAAAAAAAAGAAAGAGGATGCTGCGTCTAGTTTTACAGGCGTGCGAGTTACACACGTGTTAAGCTACGATGGGCTGGGGTCGCGGCTCCCTCGCTCCGTCCGACGCCACGATACTCGTTGCGGGAAGAGCTCGGCACCAGGCAGATGAATGATAAATAACGCCCGGGGCACGGGCAAGCCTGTAGCTGCTTTTTTTGGCAAGTCTCTTGGAAGTCTTTATTCGTGCAGCCTGCACAGAGGCTCCGTAGGCCCCCACTATCATTATCCCCACTTTGCAGATAAGCCAACTGAGGCCAAGGGTAAGCAGTGGTCGTGGCCCCAGGTCAAAGAGCTGGTTGATAGCCCAGCCTGCTTCGAATCCCACCCCGTCGCGCTCTCCATCACTCGCTGTCTCTCCCCCGTCACGACGAGACAAATATTTCTGCAAAGTGGATTTCGGCAAGAGCGAGAATAAATAAATAGGCAGCTCGATCCATCCCTCTCCACTGTCACTTCATTTATACAGCGCTGGCTTTCTCCGCAGTTCCCAGCGCAGGGCCAATTTTGGTCATCGATAGACCGGAGCCCCAGCCAGCTTCCCTGACATACCGTCCCTGGTTTTCTGGCCAAAAAGTTCAAGTGCAACTTCGTTTTCCTTCCTCGCCAGTTGCCTAGGAACACGCCTATGAAAATACACTTCTGTGCTCCTACTCTCAACCACTTCAGCGCCAAGAGTGGGGGTTTTCTTCCCTCCCTCACTCGGTCCTGATTTTTTTTACACTCTCACAGACCCAGACCTCACCCGGCCGGTCCGTCCCCGCGCTATCAGCACACGTCCCGTCCCAAAACGCAGGTTGCAACCGTCTCTGCCTGCAAAACGATCCCCTTGGCCCAACAGGCTGAGTTCGGCCCCTGCAAGATGAAACAGGAAGACACGACCCCTCTCCGGCTCTCTGGGCGCAAAGGGGGAAAAGAGCAGCGAGGTGACGAGTGGCTCCTCTCAACGCACCTGCCGCAGGGCTGGGTTTTTGGGGAGGTGGAGAAAGGCCGAGCAATCGTTGCCTTGCTGCTGCCAAGGAAAGGCGAAGCCGCACGGCGGCGGGTGCCCTCTGTCCGCGAGTGGCACTGTTGTTGCGCCAACGTGCCGGACCGGAGCGTGGGATATTTCGCATACTTTCAGTGTGACTGGATGGTTGCACAGTTACCGGCGTCCAAGACAGGAAATCAGCCCATATCTGAGCGTCATCGCTTCCCAGACCCGTTCCACATTTCCGACCGAGCCGGGAAGGCTCCTTTGCCTTCAAACGACTCCAGAAGCAACTGGACGTTTCCCCCAACCCCCCTTTATTTTTCTCCTTCCCAAGCAAATCCAGCGGGGTCTTTATGTCCCGAGACATAAATGAACCCGGCCGGGGCTTTGCAAAGACGACGCGCAGTGCAGCAGAAAGGGAGGGGGGGCATCATCGAAGCAGCAAGATTTATGGGGTGTTAGAAAGGAGAAGCTGCGACCCGGCAGATCTCCGCCGCACGGGTGCCGGGAGCAGCTTGGCACCGAGCAAACGACTGCTGGGTTGCTGGGTTTTTTTGCTTTTGCAAGCCGGAGTTTTCTTGCCAGCTCGTTCCCCTTCTCCTGGCGGAAAGGGGCCGGCGGGTCCTACAGGATTTGCAACGTCTCGGGCAGCTGTCACCTGCAAACCCGGGCTTTGCTTTCTTTTACGCGCTCCTCCGGCATCCGGGCTGGCCCTTCCCCTTGCACCTGCTCCTCTCGGAGCCTGGCCCAAAGGGGCTGCCCAGCGAGAGACCGCGACTCCCGTCTTGTGGCCTGGGGTGTGTAGGGGGGATTTAGGGCAGGGGCTGGATGGCAGGGGGGGCAGATGGGGCTCTTGGTTATGTGGCACTAGCTGCCAGTGGTGGGGATTAGGGGAGGGGGGAGAGGAGGTGGAAAGGAACCAGGGCAGAGGAGCGTAGAGCTGGGGAAGGGGATGGGGTTCGAGTTGGGGGGCTGGGGCACACGACTGCTGGGGGACCGGGGCTGATTTAGTCAAGAGAAGACCAAGGGGGATTGGATAGCAGCCTTCACCTCCCTGCAGGGGGGCTGCAAAGAGGATGGAGCTGGACTGTCCTCAGTGGGGGCAGATGGCAGGACAAGGAGCAATGGGCTCAGGCTGCAGCAAGGAAAACTGAGGTTAGATATTAGGAAAAACTTTCTTACAAGGAGAGTAGTAAAACACCGGAACAAGTTACCCAGAGAGGTGGTGGGGGTGCTGAAGACCCGGGTAGACAAACCCTCGGCTGGGATGATGTAGTTGGGGCTGGTCCTGCTTGGAGCAGGGGGTTGGACTTGATGTGACCCCCTGAGGTCCCTTCCACCCTCCTTTTTTATGATTCCCTCATACCAGCCAAGGGTCGTTAAGAAATGACCCTTTACAGTAAAGGTGCCCAGAATTTGGACTAGACTTCCCAAGGGGGGGGTGCAGTCCCCAAACTTGGGAGTCTTCAAGAGGAGACTGGACAGACACCTTGCAGGGATCATTTGATCTCAGCAGTATTCCTGCACGGAGCTGGGGGGCTGGACTCGCTATTTTGAGGGCCCTTCCAGCCCTTGGTGTCTACGACTGCTCCAACACACCTATTTGTCCATGAACAGTGATTTCTATGATGTCTGTGGCTGCTTCCACACATCTATCTGGCCACCAAAAATGATTTATGTGTTGTCTACAACTACTCCAACACCACTCTTCGACTGTGAAGAGCGGTTGCAATGCTGTCTATGATGGCTCCAGAGTATTTCAAGGTCCCTTCTCTTCGAGGTCCCTTCCAGCCCTTGATGCGTATGACTGCTCCAGCATGACTGTTTGGCCACAAACAGTGATATCAATGCTCGCTATGACTCCAACACAACTTGGCCAAAGACTGGACAGACACCTTGCGGGGATCATTTGATCCTAGCAATATTCCTGCCTGGGTTGGACTTGATCTTTTGAGGTCCCTCCCAGCCCTTGATGTCTACGACTGCTCCGACACAACTAATTCAAGGTCCCTTCCAGCTCTCGATTTCTATGACTGTGGCAACACAACTGTTTGGCCCAAGACTGGACACCTTGCAGGGCTCATTCGATCTCAGCAACAGTCCTGGCCACAGCAGCAGTGTTGGACTCGATGATCTTTCAAGATCCCTTCCAGCCCTCGATGTCTAGGATTTCTACGACTACTCCAACACAAGGATTTGGCCACGACGAGCGCTATCAATGCTGTCTTTGCGGCCAAATCGTTGCGTTGCAGCCATGCCAGAGCGCTACCAATGCTGTCTAGGATCCCCGCAACCCCAGCATTTGGCCCCAGGCCGGACAGACCCCTTGCGGGGTCCAGTGATCTTGGCACTGCAGCGGTGGGGGTTGGACTCGACCGTCTTCCAAGGTCCCTTCCAGCCCTTTTGATGTCCCGCCACGCGAGGATTTGGCCACGGACAGCGCACCGGTGCTGCCTTCGTGGCCAAATCGTTGCGCGGGACTCCCGCCACCCCCGGGTTTGACTCTGCCACGCGACGCTGTGGCCGGGGAGCGCTGGCAGTGTGTCCGCACGCAGGGCAGGTCACCCCCGGGTCCCCCCCATGCCCGGGGCTGGGCGGTACTCACCAGGCTTGCCCCTGTCCCTGTCCTTGTCGGCCAGGCAGAGGCCGCGGCCGTGCAGCAGCGCGTGCAGCGGCTTGTCCTCGCCGGGGCGCGGCAGGCAGCGCAGCCCCTGGGCGCAGCGCTCCGTGTAGACGCCACAGGGCTGCCCCGCCGGCAGGGCACACGTCAGGCAGCAGCCACAGCCCGGCTCCTTCACCAGCTCACAGCCGGCCGGGTGTGGCGGGCACAGCGACAGCGCCTTGTCGTCGCACGGCTCGCAGTGCACCAGCGAGCCCAGGCCGCGCGTCGTGCCCACGCACGCGC